TCATGAAGACCAGGCTGAGACAGAGACTCCTCCGTCTTCTCCTCACTGTCCTGTCTGCGCTCACAAGATTCCGTTTGTGCTGCATTTTTTTACACAGAAGGGCAGGAACCTCTCTCACGTCACTTCCTGTCCAGGCAGGCTGGATGCTGATTGGACAGATGGAACAGCTTTGACCAGAGGATGGAGGATCAGGAACAGAGACACGAGAAGACGAGGGTCGTTGTTGTTGTTTGTTGTTGTTGTACAGAAATGGCACTTAAATATCTAAAAGTCAGCAAAAAAGAAAAAAGTGAACAAAAAAAGGCAAAACTTCGTTTTATATTGTGATTATCTGATAATGTCGGTAAAGCTAACAGGTAGCAACAAGTATCCAATAAAAAAAAACATCTAACGTCTAAAAACTAGCCGAAAAGAGCCCAGAAAATATTTGGGTCAAATATAGCGATAAAAATATCGACAAGCACAAACAAAACTTCTAGTTTGCTAAATATAGCAGAAATTATTGTTGAAATACTTATTATTATTACTCTGGTTTAAATAATAAGAATAAACAGAATAATAAAAAAACAGAATTTGTCCAAAAGAAAACGAGTTTTATTTAAAGCTAAACGACAATCACACATAGACATTAGCCATTAGCAATCACACGTAGCCACAGTTAGCATAATAATAATAATTATTATTATTATATATAATTATATATATATAATATATAATTTTGCTACATGTTTTGCTAACCTATTAGCTATTATTTATGTCAAAATGTGTTTTTTTTGTTTTTTTAAGGTTGACTCATTTTCTCAGTCACTGACTTATGTATCAAATACATTTCTGAAACGTTTAGTCATTGTCTGCAATTTATTCTGGTTTCTATGTATCTTTCCTACCTTTCTCTCTCTCTCTCTCTCTCTCTCTCTCTGTCTCTCTCTCTCTCTGTGTGTGTGTGTGTGTCCGTGTCGCTGTAGTCCCTGCGGTTTGTTGTGATTTGTGAGATGATTTCAGTGAAACACAGGAATTTCCTCTCTGCAGGTGAAAACATGTGTAAAACTGCTGCAGAGACACAGATGTATTTTACAGCTGGATTATATAATTATAGTTTATCCGTGTGTGTGTGTGTGTGTGTGTGTGTGTTTTCCTTGTCTCGGCTGTAATTACTGCACACACTGCTGCTGCTCGTTACTGCTTTCAGCTGAACTAATCTCACGCTGCATGAATGGAAGGTGTCAATCAGAGGCTGCACTCAGAGGGAAGACAAGAGGAGGCTGATTGCCGCTGTACACACACACACACACACACACACACACACACACTGATTTGTTCTTCTCTCTCCAGTATATCAGTCTCTCTCTCTCTCTCTCTCTCTCGCCCCTTTCTCTCTTCCTAAAATCAGATTTCTATCTCATTTCTGATCATTTTTCACGTATTGTTTTTGACATACACGTCTGATCTACTGCCTCCAACCTAAAGGTCATGGATTTAGAAATGTAATCCAGACTTTTGGAAAGTTAGTGAGAAAACAGATAAAAAGTTTTAAAAGTTTAAAGATGAACACAGAGTATACATGTAGATAATTTAAAGTCAAACCAGACGCAGTTATCAATAACCTACAGCTTAAATATCTAAAATGTAGCTTGATGCACACATACCAGATAAGTAATGAACTAACATAAAACAAAACCTAGACGAAATATTGGAATAGAAAAAGAATAAAGTTGATCATATATATATATATATATATATATATATATATATATAACAATCTATAAATAACTAAATGGTCAATAAACTTAAGACACCTCAGAGCTAATGTTAGCAGCTTTTAGAAACGGGACTGATGCATAAACACGAGCCTCTGGAGAAACTCACTATAATGACGATGACGATGATGATGATGGTGATGTGCAGTTTTCAGCATGAGGAACAGTGGTCTCATGTTTCCTCAGCCCTGTGATCACATTCAATCCCACTGGATTATAATCCAAACACTAAGAAGCATCTGAGCTAAAATCAGTTCGTGATAATGAAGGGAACAGAGATGGAGACAGTTTGTTCTGCCTGTGCCTGTAGGCCAACGGGAGTGGGGGAGGGGACACGGTCTATTATACCACACACACACACACACACATATATGTATATGTAAATATACCATAGCTGTAATCACCGAGGTCCTTCTGACGTGGATCAATCAGATCAATCATCACACATGACTGTACTGACCTGAGGTCACACACAGGTCAAGGGGGCACAGGGAGTTCACTCACTAATCAGATCTGGACAACAAACCCCTCACACCTGACGACAACAGCCAAGTAAAACGAAATTTAAAAAAATAAATGATTCAAATATGTCATTAATTTTTAGCGACATGGTGCTATGTCTGCAGTTATTTTTAGCGATTAATAATATATATATATATTTGTATTTATTACTATAATTTAGTCTTTACGTCACAGGCTGGATAACTTTAAGATATGCCTTGGCTAACATACATTTAAGACGATTTTAATTACTTAAATTTTCTGACAAAGAAGTTATTTCTGTGCTAATTTTATTGTGTTTTATAAATTTTTACGATTTAGTTTCTCTTCCCTTCAGACTCGTGAGCAGCAGTTACTAACGGTTACCTATGTATAAAGGTCCACAAGAAATGGGATGTGGCCCAGTGAGGACCTGTGTCCAAACTTGTTTCTAAGTTTGTTGCAGGCAGTGAATAATAAAATTAAGTTGATTATATTTTTTAAATTCAACACTTCAACCAAGTCAGGTGGAACTGTATCAACGTTTTATACGATATATTTTGGAAATTGAAACAAAAAAAAATTTAAATTAAATTTTATTTTGTCTATAAGAGGACTTTCTCCAGTTTTGTTCAATTCACTCATTTTCTTTCTTTTTTTTTTTAATCTAATATTGGAGTTGGAAAATTAATATTTCCGCGAACGGTTTGGACCGAGATGCGTAAAAAAACGCTGCAAAAGTTGGGATACTTTTTCAGAACAAACTTTTTACTCCACGTCGCTGCTCCTAAACTTATTCTGTTTGTTTGTTAAACATAGTTGTTTGTATATAACCTACATGAATTTTGCTACGGCTGAAGCCTTTCACCATGAAACACCCGGTTCTTATCAGACCGTGGTTAAAACGCGAGGAGGAGGAGGAGGAGGAGGAGGAGGAGGAGGAAGGTGTGGTGGCGCTGTTCAGTTCAAGGTTACAAACGACACACCCGTTCCTTCGATCATTTAAATAATGAGACCAAACATGTTTAAAGCTCAAGCTAATAAACTATATCATATTTAAGGTAACGGTAAATTAATGATGATATTTTATATAAAGTCTACGGAAGTCCGTAAAACTGCAGACACAATGAACAAACCGAATAAACCCGTAATCAAATCATTAATATCAAATTAAAAAATAAAGTTAACTAATTAGTTATTTAGTCAAAAACCAAATTAAGATCAAACTAAGATCACGAATTGAACAGCGATTATTTTTACATAAATAAACTTAAATAAAGGTTCGGATGAATCCAGACTGGGCAGAAGCAATGTTAAAAGATAACAGAACCGTTGGTGAAGACAAAAGAAAAGCTAAAAACAGTAATTTAGCAGAATATCAATGTTAGCGGGGATTTAAAAAAATAAAAAACAAATAATATAGAAATACCTGAAATTTACCAAAGGTTCCAGTTGAAGGTTCAAGCTGAAACAAATGAGTCCAAAGTTAACCCGGTGTTAGCCAAAAATGAACTGAAACGATGCTAATTAGCTCTGTGGGTCTGAATTATATTTTTTTTTTTTAAAGGTAAAATGTTAAAAAGCAACAGGATAAACGCAGCGAAGGGCTGAATTAAATCAACGCCAAAAGTCAGTAAAAACAGCCAAAAGCTGTTAAAGAAATAACTAACGGATAAAAACAATAAAAAAAACAAGCGTTATTAAACGACCAACCACTAAATGTCTAAATGGTATCGACACTAATGCAATACATTCCCCCCAACTTATTATTAAATAATTTGCAAACGTTGAAGGTTTATGCTCTGATAACTTCGGACATTTCACTAACTCTTTCTTTTCTGTCAGCTGCCGTTGCTGTATTTTTACAGTAAACAGAGGTACAAGCATGCTATAAGAACCGTGAAATTAGGCTAAAAGCTAGCTACTGCTTAATAAAATGTTAGCCTGCCGTAAAAAAACAAAAAACAATTAACTCAAAGATTTAAAAAACAATAAATGTCGTAACACTAAATTAATTTTCCGATCAAATTGCATTTGAAGCAACAGGTTCAAACACCGACGCCGTGTTGGTCTACACTGCCATCTGGTGGTGGTACAATAAAATATCTTGGAGTACCGAAAATCAAACACACTTCCTTTTATTCATTTGTTGATATTAGAAACGCAAGCGTCACAGATAATGACAAGACAATCGTCACAGTGAACTGTACAACACTCCAAGTCCACACAGACAGACAGAGAACATCCCTGACTTTGTCTGAATACACACCAGCTAACATCTAATTATCCTGACGGTACACACTAGTCACACACAGTCATTTGCTTTAAGGCTGAAATCAGTGGAGAGCAGACGAACTACTGCTGAGTAACACGAGAGGGTCGTTGAAAGAAGGACGGAGACAGTGACACCAGGTGGCTGCTCTTCAAGCACTGATGTAGAGGAAGCGGAAGAGACTGACGTCAGACCCAACGTGACGTCACACACAGCGTTTCCCCAAGAACATTTTACCAAGAGAACAAGATGTTAGTAAGAACTGGAAAGTCGAGGACAGAAGACTCTGGAGCAGCCTGTGGCCTCGTGGTTCAAGGATCAGACTCCACCCACTCTTCCAGGCACATTTAAAACTGTGTGTGTGTGTGTGTGTGTGTGTGTGTGTGTGTGGTGTTAATCACGGCGGAGGTTCCTGGTTAAATGCAGAGAGTCTAAATTGAAACCTTTAATGTGGGATTTTACATGAATACATTAAATAAACTGCCACTGACATCTGAAAAGAGCTTCTTTGTCGTGATGTTTTTCTCTGGGTTGAAAACCTTTGTTTGTTCCTTCATTCGAAATGTTATTTGAAATAAAGTTACTTATTTTAATTATATTTTCTGCAGAAATATGACGAGAACGACAGTGGTTCAGAGCAAACGTAGTGAGGAAGGGTGAGGCTGCACTGATGTAAAGAGCACTGCCGCCCTCTGGTGGTGGTTCAACCAGAAGAACACACGCAGAGGTACGAGGAGTAAACGGGTGTAAAAAGTAATAAAGGTCTCCATGTTGTGGAGAGAACTCAAAAGAACATTTTCATTTGTCCCATGTCATAAATTTTTCTGACATTCCGACTGATGCTGGGGCAAGAAAATACAGTTTTCACCATCAGCACACGTCATGCTGTGAGGGTGGATATTCTAATTGTAGCATGCAGGGGCAACTGTGTGTATTTGAAGATGTTAGATGGGAAGAGAGGATCAGGATCTGGAGGAGTTCAGTCAAATCCCTGCCAGTCGCTCTGCTCGGAGTCGTACTCCAGCTCCATCCCAATGCAGCGGACTCCCTCCAGTAGCATTGGAGTGCCGTGGTGGCGATCTTAACGGAAGACAGAAAATGAACAAGAATCATTCAATTCAACTTACTCAGAGCTCAAACATTGTCTCGAATATTTCGGTTGAGCATATCTACATATAAAGCACTGGTGGTTCAGTGGTAGCATTCTCACCTGCCACTGGGGGGCACATGTTTGATGAAGACGAAGTAAGAAATGAAGATTAAAAGTAGTAAAAAGTACTTTTTGGTTGGATTTCATGGAGCAAACCAATAAATTTCATATAAATTAAAAGAAAGACACCGTTCACTATGTAAGGACAGAACATTCAATCTTATTTATAATGAGCACTCCTTACTAGTTACTATGTTCTCAATACTTTTACAAAACGTGGATGGATGAATGACAGATTATATATTTACACACATACATATATATGCGGTTTCAACAGCTATAATAGCATATATAATGTACAGCCAGAATTTTACTTTACCATAATATTAAGAAAATATAATGATTATGTTTAATAAATACATTATTGTTGTATATATTTATTACCAATTGAATATGAATATTTTGTTAAATATATATTATATACAGTATATAAATTGCTACTGAAGTGATGGAGCTGGAGATGGAAATTTAAGGTAGTAATATTGTCACGACTTTTTAAAATTGTTTGCTAGTGTGACTACATACAGTATAGTTAAAAAAATAAATAAATGAAAAAACAGACCGTCCCTGGGTGGGCTTGAACCACCAACCTTTCGGTTAACAGCCGAACGCGCTAACCGATTGCGCCACAGAGACGCCTGAGGAGCGGTACCCGGATCTTACATTTTTAAACAGGCACAGGAATACACATAAATACCAATGAGTGTAATGTACACCACTGTGAAACTGACAAGTACTACTCACACAGTCATTTACGTCCCAATAAAATGTCCAAGGGAGGACTGAAGGACCAAGAGGAACCGAGGAGGATCTCTGTCTAAACACGCGGCAGCCACTGCAACCCCAATCCGGAAACACGTGGTTTCTTTTGAAAGTTAAAAACTACAGAAAACCCAAGGAGATCATTGAAGTGCGTCCTCCTCGGACGTACACTAGCGTCAGCTAACGTTCAAAGCAGAAGGCTCTTATAAAACAGGAGAAGTGTAGTACCAGTTCAAAACACAGGACGGCACCTGTGCATACGTGGCGCTGAAATCATATACAACAACGGAAGCGTTTAAGGCATGTAGAGCGGAGCATCGTGATTCAGTTGCAGCATTATCAAATTCACCCTCTACTTACTCTGTACTTGTTTTCGTTTGTACAACAGTATTTCATGATAAGATGAATGAATCACAGAAAACCATCAGCGAAGCATTGGTGGTTCAGTGGTAGAATTCTCGCCTGCCACGCGGGAGGCCCGGGTTCGATTCCCGGCCAATGCAAGCATTCTTTTCTTTCTTTTTTTTTTCTACTTCTTTAGGACTTTTTAGGAATTTCACACATTAAACCACACAAAGCCTTGTATGTAAAACACAAACTACTTCAGGCACTTTTTACACATCAACTACACAATGAACCCTCACTAAAATCTTTATCTGGTCACACAAATACCAATATCTAAAGTGACACCAACACAATGACAGAAAAATGCCACTTTATCACAGGTCACAGCCCAATCAAGAATCCACACTGTGGGAATTCAGTTTGGTGGGATTTAGTTCAACAAGCCTTCAAATTAGCATCCTAACAATCATTTTTAAACCATGGAAAAAACTGGAAAATGATGACCAGGTTTCCATTCAGGCCTGAGAAATCCTTACAGTTGTGACTTAGATGGTTCCAAAACCCAGTTCTGCTGTGAACTGTTTACAAATATTTTGAATGTTTATATGCAGATTGACCACCAGAGGGAGACAGTAGACACGTGTGGCACACAGGCGTGAGATGCAGCAGTATTGGAGGGAGACACAGAGAGCAGAGGAAAATAAGAATGACTGTGCACTCACCCATGACCCGGGCGTGAACTTTGACTTTGACGCATACGTCCTCGTTGGTCTCGCTCAGCAGCAGCACCTCCTCACACAGAACACCCTCCTGATGGGCCATGTACTCACATGTTATCTTTAGACCTCCTGGAAAACAGTTGTTTTGTTTTGTTTTGATCAGCCGTTCTTGGTTGGAGAGGTTGAAAAGTGCTAAAAGTGCTATCATCATTTAACAAAGAAAAAAGACAAATAAGCCAAATTTCCTCGCTAATTTGTAAAACTTTAGGCAGAGTAAAAGGTTAGGATTTAAAAACAGTTTTACAGGGGGAGATGAAGTACAGGGTTTCCCCCTGTAGGGCTCTCTGTCTATAACTGGCCATGATCAGGTCCACACTCCGCTGGTTGTGTCAAGTCAATGGCCTGAATCATAGGTAAACAGCTGACTGATGTGTAAACAATCAGAAATACTCTACACACACACACACACACACACACATTAACAAACAAAGGCTTAACATGTGCTGCTTTTTATATTAGCGCCCGCACACGCACACACACACACACACACACAGAGTGAAGGTAAATGTCTCTCAGCGTCATCACATACTGGGCAGTGATCCCAAAAATGTAACATAAAGAGTTTCACCTTTGACCCCAGTTGTTAGGTAACAGGCTGGACTCCTGTTTAGACTTTTTCATCCAGATTCAGCTTATTACGCTGCCAAGGTCAAGAATTTCAGACCAACGAGGGAAACATTTAAAATGAGTTTTGCTATCGCTCACAGAGAAGCTGCTTAGTCAGCAAACCTACACAGTTTATTATGATTGCAGTCCTGAACCATCTGCTCAGCCTGTAGCAGGCCATCACTCTGATCTGGCTCCAAGCAGAACAGGAAAACACACACACACACACACAAAGTTGAATGTTTATACAACAGACTAAAGAGTTCAGAGAAAAAACAAGAAAACAACAGGAGAAGTGAACGTTGTTCCTCAGACTTTTCCCTGCTTCAAAAGATTCATGTCGTCAGTGTTTGAAGTAACAATGGACTCTATGAGATCTGCATCTCAGGGTTTAACAGTTAAAACAAAAAAATTCTCAACTTTTTTTTTTTTTTACTTCTACATGATCCTGTTGTAATACTGCAGTACTTACCACACACGCAGTGCAGTTCTTTTCACAGCCCTTGTGTTCCTCGTTTGTGTCTCTGGTCGGTCTGACTGCTCTACTCAGCAGGTCATGCTAACATAAGTATAATTCAAACTGTAACTCTATTACAAAATCCCCAGAGATGTAATGCTACTTATAAACCGTGAATTAGCCAAATAGCTATCACAGACATTTGATAACGCCATTTAGATGTGGCTCAAATGCTGCAATATAGCTTTGTTTCCTAGGACCAAACAGCATCACTGGCTGTGGTTAAACGACTCTTAGAGCTGAGTTCCACCCTTTTTGTTCAGATGTTTGGTGTCACATTATCCTGATTGTTTGCTGATGATTGCTGTTTCTCAGCAGCCCGGCTAGCTCAGTCGGTAGAGCATGAGACTCTTAATCTCAGGGTCGTGGGTTCGAGCCCCACGTTGGGCGTGAGGTTTTTATGATGCAGTAAGTGGAGTGGTGCAGTTTCATGTCTTCAAGTTTCAACCACAGCAGGTTCACTTTGACCTCGTCCTTCAAATCAATGCATCGACTTGCAGCTGTATCTGCAGTTATAAGGCGTTGATTTTGTGATGCAGTTTCCAGGGTACACAACACAAAGCCCATTAAATCATCTTTACTGGTGCATGTGTTTACCTGCAGACACTGGTCTTACAGTCCATCTCTTCACCTGGGTTTCAGGGTGGAGATGGTTGTTTTTTTTAGGAGCCTCACCTTTTTATCAACCTCACATTTATCACAGTAATGAGCTGAAATTATGCCTATGATTGTACAAAGAGCAGCTGGATGATACTGGGCTGATCATGAAATGAAATGAAATGTTTTTATGTAAATAAGTTGAAGGAAGAAGCTGTGGAGCAGCAGTGACTCAGCTCTGTTCTGGGGGTCTCCACGCTCCCTCTCCTGGGCTGAAAGGTGATCAGAGACTGTTCCTCTGCTTCCACTGATGCAGCGGCTGTTTCCTAATCAGTGATGATCAGTGATCTGCTGTTGTTGTAGTTGTTGTTGTGAGAACACAAAGAGGCAGCCACACAGACAACCTCCATATTATTATATTATTACAAGCAATCTTATTGAATTATATAATCAGATTATAAAGAGCCTGAACGCTCCCACAGCTGCTGCACTGTCCTGACCCACACCTCCACACCGAGAACGTCTTCTCCCCCTTGGGCTACAAGACGATTTACAGGCAAAACAGAACAACAGAGAAGCAGTGTGTGTGTGTGTGTTGAAAAGTTCTTCTGTACTACTCTGATCAGCCACCTAATCAACGCCTTATAACTGCAGATACAGCTGCAAGTCGATGCATTGATTTGAAGGACGAGGTCACAGTGAACCTGCTGTGGTTGAAACTTGAAGACATGAAACTGCACCACTCCACTTACTGCATCATAAAAACCTCACGCCCAACGTGGGGCTCGAACCCACGACCCTGAGATTAAGAGTCTCATGCTCTACCGACTGAGCTAGCCGGGCTGATGTCATAGAGAAATCATCAGCAATTCATTAGCGATATGACCATATAAGGTATGTCTGCTGCTCTTTAATCATCAAAGATTTGATTATGGCTGAGTTTTTTACTTCCTAGTTGTTGTGCTATTCTAGTTTGTTGATGTACATCTGAGTATTGGTTTACTTGAGTCTCACCCTCTGGTGCAGGTGTAATATCAGTGATACGCAGGTGAGGACTGGGTACAGGAGCTGGACACACGTCCGTCCCCAGGGCCGGGACTCCAGGCAGGGTGAAGACTATTTCATATCGATGCTGCGTCTTCAGGAAACCGACCTGCAGCGACACAGAGGCAGAGAAGGGGAAGGGTTAAGGTGTAAAAATCAACTGTCCACTGGGACCAATCCAACTGGTCCACAGGCAGAGCGACAGTCTGTGGTTTGGTCTCTGGTCACAAGCTCATCCTCACTGATGTTTTCAGCCTGTTCAGAAAGTGAATCGATGACACCGCAGTGGAGCAGTGGAGTATTACACCCCAGTGTATGACAGGAGAGCTGACCTTCAGATCTGCAGGAGTACTTTTTAATATGACTGAAGCAGAATTATAAACTTGAGAACATCCTCACTACTCTGTGTGATGTGAAAACCATGTCAGCTAAAAATGCCAGCTCTGCTGTACACCCATGGTTCACACAGACACACACACACACACACACACACACAGAGACAAACTTGTTTTTATTTGTCCGTTCTGAACATGACAACGCCCGATTGTATGAGCCAAAGCCCCCTCCTCAACAAACAGTGGTGTGTACGCTGCTGGCCTCCCACACACTCCCACAGCATCTTTGATGAAGCTGTGAAAATCTCAGCCTGTATGCCGTATGCCTCCTCCCTCCAGTGTTACCATAGCAACAGCACATATCTACCCACCCCCAGCCCCGTTAGCTGCACAATAAACCGGGACGACCGACTGACGGCAGTCTGTGTCCACTATGGAGCAGCTTCGAAGAGATTTCACACACACACAGTTTGGCTGTGAACTGTTTTCAACACTTAGAGAAGTTTGGTTTCACTGAGCAGTTGGACAAATATCTTTGGGATTTGTTTTAGTTAAAGAAGTGAACCAATGACTCACCCCAGAAGATCTCACCCAGCTGTGTGTGTGTTTGTGTGGTGTATGTCCACCATCCTATTCTCTAACACAGAATCAGAGAGGTCATGTCAGGTCAATCTGCACTCTCCACTGTCATGGACTCAGCTTCATATTCAGACACAAGTTATTTATTTCTCTTCGGCAGTGGCCCTCCATTGGCCGCCTGTGGTCTGCAGCAAGTCCACGAGCCATTTATTTATGGACTGCAAGCTGAACATATGAAAGCAGTTTGTTACGCAGCACGGGGCGAGCACAAGGTAAATGAGGAAAAAAAAGAACGAGTCAAAGAATAAGGAGGAGAAGAATCGGCTTCATTAGTCATTGTTTTTGTTCTTTTTGCAAACGGACAAATGACTGGGATTCAAAGCTGTTATTCCCCAATAACACGCCTGATCATCACGTTATACTAGTCTTATACTTCACTCCTGGTTATGTCAGATACTCCACAGCCCACCGTGGGAGTGGAGATGAAGTACAACCTTCACTCCAACCTCAGGGTGGGCTGCATCAGGAGCAGCAGGAACAAATGAACTGTGTGGAGAGCAGCTGTGGAGACCCCCGAGGACGGAGCTGAACGCCGTTCTTCAGACTGGAGTTCTACACCTGTGTGTACGGATCAGTCAGATTAGACCTGGATTAAGTTGAGACTAATAATGAGACGTGATAAAAACACTGAGTGAAGGACCAGAGTCAGTGATGTCACAGGGATCCAGCAGATCCATGAAGGAACACCTGCAGACGTGTCTGTCTGTCACCAAGACCTAACCAAGGAATTAAATAGATTCATCATGTGGCTGCTACATTTGCATGTTGGTTCTGCATCTGTGACTTTATGGGGTGTAAAAAAACGAAGTGATGAATGTTCTCTTTGGTTTTCCATTTGCATTTCACCCAGGATTACTGCCTTCATCACTGCTGTCAACCACACACTGCAGGGATCCACTCTGCAGTCAGTGGAATCAGTGCAGACTCACTCATCACTCAGAAAATATTATTTTATATATATGTATATATATATATATATATATATATATACAGGTCAAATCTATTGTTTTTCCTGACCAACTACTGGGTGGTTACAATCACCTTCACCATGAAGTTGCCATCGTCCTCTGGAGTAACCATGACGATGGAATCGTGCAGCTTTTCGTCAAAGTGAACGTGTGATGCGGCGGCGGCGGCAGGGTGTTGCTCTGAGAAACGCACGCCTCCGGTCTTTGCACAACCTGAGAGCAAGAGGGGGAGACAGACATCAGTAGACTGTGGAGCAGGGGTCTCACACTCACATGACCTTGAAGAAACACTTCACTTTACTTTGTGTTTAAATGACCTAATTGGACTTTAGTCCAACCTTTT